CCACTGAACTATATTTTTCAAAGATCCTGGAGCACAGGGGAACTACCAGAGGACTGGAAAAGAGCTGATATAGTTCCCCTTTTCAAAAAAGGAAAAAGAATAGATCCAGAAAACTACTAACCCATTATCCTGACCTCAATACCTGGGAAGATTCTGGAAAAGATAATCAAACAAGAATCAGCGAACACCTAGAGGCAAAGTCATTACCAAAAGCCAACATGGGTTTGTTAAAAACAGATCATGCTAGACACATCTTACTGCATTCTTTGACCCAATTACAAAATTAGTGGGCTAGAGGAATGCTGTGGATATAATTTTCTTGGATTTCAGTAAGGCATTTGATAAAGTTCGTACATAGTTTGCTGCCTGAGCAGGGGGTTGGACTAGATGACCTCCAAGGTCCCTTCCAACTTTACTATATATTATTAAATGCAAGAGTGAAATCTTTCTAGCAGATGAACTTAAAACATTCCTCCTGCTAACTTAAGGCTGTTCTTAAGAGTACAGAGAGAGAAAGGAAGAAGAAAAACAAACAAACACTTTTTTTTTCTTCACTCTGTTTGTTGGCCAGACAAACAGAGTGAGGTATTTCCTTTTTGTGGCTTTTTTTTAAGCAGAATTTCTAGCAGAATTTAAAGTTCTTTTTTTTTTTCCCCTTTGGATTTGAAACAGTTAACAGACTTTGACAAACATATACACAAAAACAAGAGAACAGAAGTCTTAGGTTTACACATCCTAGTCATTCCCACCATAAGTTTCAGATAGTTCAAATTAGGGAAGGCACAGATCTTAAACATACCACGTGGTTGCATAGAGAAGAGAGAGAGAGAGAGAATCACTATTTCTTATTTTCCCTTTTAAGTACCTTTATTTAGCCAAATTGGTTTCCCAGCAAAGCCCTAAGCAAAGTCTATTTTTTTTTTTTTGCATAACTCTTTTAACCGTTTCTTTTTCATCCCGGCCTGGACAGGTAGCTGATTCCTGTCCCAGGCGTCGAGCAAGCTCTCAACGGGGAAACCTACCTCAGCCCTTGAATTGGAACTTCCCATACTTTTATGATGGAATTTCCTCTTAACGCTAAAGGGCACTACACAGTTGAAGCCTCCTTGTGAGACTTCTTTCACACTACAGTCGAAGCCTCCTTGTGAGACTTCCTCCTAGCGCCGCGGTTTTGTGAGTCCAAAAAAGGGACTCGCGGAGCACTCTGGATCCCTCTCAGAGTACGCGGGCTCCTTGAGGGATCCCCCACGGTTTCAGGCCGAAAAAGTGGCCTGTCGAGACGCTTCTGGTTTCCCTCAGAAGGTACGGGTAACTCAGCCACCGATCGGCTTCACCACAACTGTTTTGCGGACTCTCTAACGTCCGCTGCGGACCTCTGTTTGCTCTCAGAGGTAAGCGGACCGCTCCTAGC